TTGTAGTTTGAACCCATTGTTCCACGTCCTAGTTTCCAGGGAAGAAGAAAACAAGCTTGCTCCCTCCTCCCTATGACTTCCTCTCACATATTTGTACATGGCTATCATATCTCCTCTCAGCCTTCTCTTCTTCAGGCTAAACATGCCCAGCTCCTTAAGCCGCTTCTCATAGGGCTTGTTCTCCAGACCCTTGATCATTTTAGTCGCCCTCCTCTGGACACATTCCAGCTTGTCAATATCTCCCTTCAATTGTGGTGCCCAGAATTGGACACAATATTCCAGGTGTGGTCTAACCAAGGCGGAATAGAGGGGTAGCGTTATTTCCCTAGATCTAGACACTATGCTCCTATTCATGCAGGCCAAAATCCCATTGGCCTTTTTTTGCTGCCACATCACATTGTCGGCTCATGTTTAACTTGTTGTCCACGAGGACTCCAAGATCTTTTTCACACGTACTGCTCTCGAGCCAGGCGTCCCCCATTCTGTATCTTTGCATTTCGTTTTTTCTGCCTAAGTGGAGTATCTTGCATTTGTCACTGTTGAACTTCATTTTCTTAGTTTTGACCTATTTCTCTAATCTGTCAAGATCGTTTTGAATTCTGCTCCTGAATTCAAAACGGTCTTGACAGATTAGAGAGATGGGCCAAAACTAACAAAATGAAGTTCAACAGGGACAAAATGCTTGAGACCAGAAATGTTCCTTATTTTGGATTTTTTTTTTGAGATTTTGAGCATGGAACCCAAGTTTAAACATGAAATTGATGTATGTTTCATGTACACCTTAGACCAGGTATGGGCAAACCCAAGCCCAGGGGCCAGATGCGGCCCCTTGGACTCTTTTCTCGGGCCCTCCTTTCTCACACCATTCTATTCTTCCTTTCTTCTCTCTTTCCTTCCTCCTTCTCTGCCTCCCTTACTTCCATCTTTCTCCCTTCCTCCTTCCTTCCCTTCTACCTTTTCATCATTCCTTCCTTCCCTCTTTCTTCCCTCCTCCCCTCTCTCTTTCTCCTTCCTTCCTCCTTCCTTCCTTCCTTGTTTCCTCCTGAGGGACCATAGATCAGGTATGGGCAAACCCAGGCCCAGGAGCCAGATCCTTGTGCTCTTTTCGCAGGTCCTCCACCCTCTCCCCATCCTATCATTTCCTTCCTTCTCTCTTTCCTTCCTTCTTCCCTCCCTCCCCTCCTCCCTCCTTCCTTTCCTTCCACCCTTTCGTCCTTCCTTCCTTCCCTCATTCCTCCCTCCTTCCCTCTCTCTTTCCTTCCCTTTTGTCTTTTCTTTCTTCTTCCTACGTCCCTTCCTTCCCTCCCCTACCCCTCCATTCCCTTCCTTCCTCCCTTCCTTCCTTCCTTCCCTCTTGTCTTTCCTTCCTCCTCTCTCCCTCCTCTCCTCCCTCCCTCCTTCCTTTCATTTCCCTTCCTTCCATCTCTTCCTCCTTTCATCCTGGGAGATGTTTAGCTGGGAGAAGAGAAGGTAGAGAACTATGTCCCATTGAGGAGGAGGAGGAAAACTGATTTTCTGCTGCTCTGGAGACCAGGGCACAAGGAAGCAATGCTTTCAAATGGCAGGAAAGATATTGGACTGAAAAGATTAGGAAGAACTTATCAGAGAGAAGCTTAGGCTGCCTGAGCGTGGGGTGGTGTCTCCTTTTCAGGAGGCTTTTCCACGGAGGCTTGTCTGTTGGAAGTGCTTTGATTGTGCCTTCCTGCATGGCAGGGGGTTGGACTAGGTGGCCCTTGGGGGTCTCTTCCAGCTTTAGGGTTCTAGGATTATATATCAGGAGTAGGCAATATGGGGTCTCATGGACACACTTTTTCTCTCCCGTCCACCACCTCATCCTGACCAACCCTTTTGGTATCCAAATGACCAACCCTTTTGGCATCCAAATGTTTTCCATCTTTCCTTCACTTTCTGTCTCCAAAAGAGAAGAGGAAGGGGAGGAAAGGGCAAGGAGGGGGTTTAGGGAGAACCCTCTGCCTCCTGGGCCACTCACCCCATTCCGGCTTGCCATGTGGTCCCCAAGTTAGAAGGTTTGTCCGTGCCTGCCTTATCTTGATTATCTGAGTCCACACTCAGATAATGTGGGATTTTCTGCCTTGATATTCTGGGATGGAAGGGCCCTTAGGCATATAGCATGAAGATAATTTTATACATAATATTGTAATAATTTTGTGTATGATAATTTTGTGTACACTGAATAATTAGAAAGCAAAGGTATTCATATCTCAGACACCCACATGGATGGTTTTGGTATATCCTGGATTTCGACAATCTGGATACAGGATCCTCAGTATGTATTATTGTCCTACTTCACTGAGCCATTTTTCTCATAAGGAGTTGTTCATATCCAGAACAGCAGCCTTTATAACTTTTGAGTAAAGAATATGCCATTTCCCAGATGTTGGGCTATAACTTCTGTTAGACTTAATCAGTGGCAAGCCCAGTGGTAAGGGATGATGGGTGTGCTGGTCCAATACCATTTAGAAGACAACCGTCACTATGCTTCAAATTCATTTAATGGTCAAAATTTAGTTTTCAAAGTTTCACATGTTTGTTCATAATTTATTCGGGTTTGATTTTAATCCAGTTTAAAAACAAATCACCATAACACCTTTTAAGATAATATTTTAATTTTAAAAAATACTTGTTTTTGTCTATTTTTATGGGGATAATTTTTTCACTCTTGACCAGGGAGCTAATATTCCAGCCACTTAACATCTGACCTTAATGTTTCCTGCTGTCACCCCCACAGTTATCCATAAAACAAGTAAGAGGGAAGATTAAGCTAGATTACAGAATCTAAATGTACTTAGTGCACTGACTGTACTGTATAGAATTTGTGTTCCTTTAGTGTAGATCTTTGATGGCAGGGTGGAGAGGGGGAACCACCAAGCATAGAAGTCCCCGTCGTAAGTAGGCTGCAATTCCCTTGTCATTTCTGTTATAACCCTTTCTTCCAAGTGTCACTGCATTTATAGTTCACCGCTATAATGCTTGATCAGCTGTTGTAACCCCAGCAGGAAGAAACAAGAGTAGTGTGTGTGTGTGTGAGTGCTGACCTAAGATATTCTACACCCGCAAACCCAGTGCACTGCACAGTTTGAAAAGCATGTTCCGTGTTCACAGAGCACATATGACCTGAGAGTTGGTGACACTGAAATTCCAGGTTCATCCTAAGATTCATTGGAGCCCTTAGAATGGAGAGATAGCCTAAATTGCTTTACTGTCAGACTAGCTCACAGTATTCTGCAAAGAGTTGCCAGTTTTTGAAATCGCAATTGGTTGTGCAAGAAGAGAAGTCGGACCTGGAAAAACTGGGTTCCCCTTTTCACCTCTGTCACAGATTTCTGTGCAACCACAGCCTTGTCTCTGTCTCATTTGCTCTTGGCCTCAGCTCTTCTGTCTATAAAATGGGAGGTAACTATTTTTATTGTATGAGTCCATGGGCTGTCACATCCACAAACAATCATGTGAATCAGTGCAAGCCAACACCACAAGATGACTAATACCATTACGGAGTGGACAGCACTTTTTCCACAGAGGAAACTGCTTGAAATCATTGAGATTTCAAGTTAATTGTTCCCTACTTGTCTCATTTTTATTGGTTTACTCTTAAATACAGTAAAATTATAAGTGTGCATTCTGAACTCCAGAATAAACTATATAATTAATTGTCATGACACATGGGTATGGAATGATCAAAGTCAACACTCAGTATGATGTAAAGCAGAGATGGGGAGAGTCACGTTCTGTAGGGATTGTTGGATTGTTATCTTTCATGATCCTTTACTGTGCTCACTAGGTATTGCTCGGCTCTTCAGTCCAATAACATCTGGAGAGCCATGTGTTCTCCAGTTTCCAAGAAGGCATGGACATGTAAACAAGGACAGAATTTTAGATGTATCCCTACAACTCATGATATATCCTCCCATATTCCTTATCTTTATAGATTCCTTTGTGATAGTAAAATGAAAGATTGTCCTCTGCCTCAAGGTTGTTGTGAGTGTCAGTCACTATAAAGCTTGTGAAGTACAGGCAGATGGGTATTAAGCTATAATATACGGATGCAGAGTTTGGTTGTTTTCACAATTAGTATGGTTTTTATGTTGTTGTTGTTTTAATTTCCAACAAACATAGCTGTATATTTACTGTCCAAATAAGCAGTGGAGTGTGTTTTATTTTCTGACCCATATTTACCATCCAGTGCTGTAGCATTGTTCTATGTGAGGAAGAAACCATATTTGTTACATTAAGGGTTGGTTCGCACATATATTCCCTATCGTCTGAATCCTGGCAGTTATGGGATTAGCCTAAAATATATTACTGCTTGAGCCAGAGAACAAGGTGGTGGCCACCAGTGTCATTGTTCGATATTGTGAAAACTAACGACTAGATCTTATTTCAGTATTGGGTAAACACTGTTGGGGCTAAAGGGTTGTAAAGCAGGTCTAGTAGCATGCAGGCCTCAATCTACCATACAGTATCTGCATAGTGGTAGGAACAGTCCTAGTGATTGATGGCATGACCAGATGCTACAGTATTGAAAACGTTGTGTTTGAGGTGGCATTGAGTGATGATAATGCATGTTTCATCTTTTGGAGATAGAGCTGGGATAGTTGCAAGGGATAGTTTTCATGTCAGTGACCAGGCAATTCTACTCTGGATTTTAGGCTGAATCTTAAAGGAGTTACTCAAGTTACTGATAAGGTTCAGTACCTTGGTTAATTTCTTTGAAATTTAGACTAAACCCAAGAGCCCATTTATCTCCTTATTAAAATGAAACTATAGACCACCAAGGTAGCTCAATAACTCTGGGTCATCACCCGATGGGCAGTCATCAAATGAGGAACATACCTGACTTAAATAAGCATTAAGACAGTGCAGATCTTTGAGAAGAACAAGAAAGCAGAGTTTAGATAGTCAAAGTTGTGTCAGAACCATTGCTTGAATCTCGCCTAACTTATCAGGTCGCCTGATGTCAGTGCCTTCATCTTTTGCTCCAGGTGCCATGACGGAACTTCAGGAAGTGCAGATCACGGAGGGGAAGCCACTTCTTCCATCCCCGCCAGCACCTGATCCAGGCAAGGTCAGCAAAAGCGCAAATTTGCCTCAGTCTCCCCCACCAAATCTTTCCCCCTCCCATTGGCTTTGCCCTAACTGTCCAATCCCACCTTTTTTCCTCCTTGCTCTTTCCTGACTGAGTGGGTGTCAACAAAGCAGGTACTTCAAGTTCAGTCTGACCATTGGTCCATCTGACCTGATGTTGTCCCCTCTGATTGGCAGTGGCTTATCATCTAATTTTAAGAGGAAGCATTGGAGTGTTGGGTAGCTGTGCTGTTTCAGCCAGGGATGTCTGGCCCTCCAAATCTTGTTGAATTGCACCTCCAATGCCTCCCCATCATGCATTCAAGGGTTGCTGGGGATTGCAGTTCCACGGCCACCAGAGGACTGTGCTTTCCTTCCATCTGAATGTTTTGATTCACAATTTAGCAGTATGAGTCAGGCATGCTCTTTTTGCAAATTCCTATCTCCCCAGCTGAGTAATACATAAGCCAATTGGAAGCATGGACAGAGCCTGTGAGTAACTACATTGCGGTTCTTAAACACAGTTCGCCTTCTGGCAAAACCACCTCATGCCAGTTTCAACAATCTCAGCCAATTTTGGAAGAGCCTGCACACTCTGCTCCCCATCCCTCTCTGCCTTTCCCTATAACTCTGATTCTTCTTCCTCACTTACTTCCTACTTTCTTGCACCTTCTCTGTCTGTGTGTCTTTCCCCTCCCTCTTCTTTCTTTCTCTGTGTTCTAGGATGCTGAACTGATTACAGCCAAACTTCTGCAGGAACACGGCCAGGTAATTCCCTCCCTCCCAGTTTTCCCATTTCATTCATAGGGTTAATACTTGGGTTATACCCATACCTGCTAAAATCCCCATCAGTTGACAAACCAAACTAAAGGAAGAGGTCCATTTGTCACCTTCTGTCTCTCCTTCCTTTGCTCAAAATGTGAATCAACAGTTAGTATCCCCTTTCAGTTATTGTCAGTCACATAACTGTTATAGCACAGGGTCATCCATAGGGCTGCAGGATAAAACAATGTCTCATAGACAAACAGTGTTCTACTCTTGTCTGTGAGGCAAGAGTAATGCTTAGAGGTTTTCAACTTGTGGGTCCCCAGATGTTTTGGCCTTCAACTCCTAGGAATCCTAACAGCTGGTAAACTGGCTGGGATTTCTGGGAGTTGTTGGCCCAGATACCTGGGCTAACAGGTTGAGATGCACAGTGAAAGCAGAATTTGTTGTTGTATGCCTTCAAGTCATTTACAGCTCAAGGCAACCCTGATGGTGTATAAAAAGAACCTAAACATTAGGAAGAACCTCTTGTCAGTAAGAGCTCTTTGACAGTGCTGTGCAGTCTCCTCCTTTGAAGGTTTAAAATCAGAGACTTGATGGCTCTCTTTTAGGAATGCTTTCCTCCATGTCAGAAGAAAGTTCAACTGGATGTCCCTTGGAGTCTCCTCCGGCTCTGTGATTCTATGATTCGCCCAAGCTTACCCAAACTAGAAATCAAATCCAGATTTCCAGAGTCATGGGGCACATCTAGACAGCGCCTAAAATGCATGCCCTCCTGTGTTTTTACATGGGGCATCCAAATGACACTCCTCGTAAAAACGAATTCCTTCAGGACAACCCTGCTATGGCCTAAAGTAATTTGATAGTGAATTAGACATGGATCTTTCTGAAAGACCCGCGACTAACCCACTATGATCACTGTCTGGACTGCCCTCTCAGAGGTTCTGGGACTTCCGAGGGGGCAGTCCGCAGAAAAGGCTCTAACTCCCTCCCCAAAACCCCCCAAAAAGCCTTTTTTTAAAAGAAAATAACTTACCTGGATACCATTACTGTGCTGCTGGAGCTCTATTGGTGCATAGAAATGACACACCAGGAGAAGGGGAGGGGAGGAGGAAAATCAGAGAAGTGCCAGACGGGTTTTTTCTTTATCTTTTTAAGGCTTTTCTGAGGGGGCTTTGTTGCCCCCCCCCCCCCGAAAAGCACAAGTTTTCTGGGGCATGTGTGGACTGTAATGCAGGCCTAATTAGGTTTTAAAAACCCGATTGGGCTCGCATTAAAGTCCTGTTTGGAACCGCCCATAGTCCCAGCATTCAAACCAGTACACCATGAACAATAATTGTGGGTGCTAATTAACGTATAATTGACATGTTGAATTGGACTCATTTCTAGGACTCGGCTTGGGTTTTTTTTCTGTCAGGGTTTTTGTGCATTGTTGTGCTCCACAAGAGATTCAAACTGCCCTGCTTCCCAGAAGGTTTCACAACCAGGGTTCCCTGGAAACCTAAAGTTCTACAAGATGTGATTGGAAAAAATAATCTTTTAAAAAGCTGTATATATAATATTTTTTATACTGAGATTATCTGAGAGAGGAACATTTTTCAAGCATTCCTTTGGGACTTTTAGATTTATACAGTATAGGTTAAAACACAGGCAAGTACCTTACACCAAGACAGACTCACTTCTGCTCTGTGTCTTTATTTTGAGCAGCAGCACCTCTCTAGAGTTTCAGAGAGGGATGTTTTCCTGGGGAAATCAATGGGTCTTTTACATTCAGCACATGTGCCGTGTCATTTACTGGCATCCCTTCCTGCCCCCTACCCCAGTTTTACCATTATGTAATCATTAAATGCTCAAGAACTCTGCCAGACTGAGGAAAAAAGAAGTGACAACTCTTCCCAGGAGTCCTGGCTCTAAGCCCAGCCTATTCTTTCTTGGTTGGCTTTGATTTGTTGTAGCCCTCTATAACACTCTGCCACCTGGCCCATTAGCCAGTAAAGGCAGTGCCATGTCGAACTAAAAGTGGGTTTCAATTAAAGTTTCTCTCAACCCAAATTCCACTCTGAAATAGCCACATTTTGGGGGTTACCAAATATTACCGAAATCTTGCTCGTTTACCTGCAACAGTGGCATAAGCCACAGGCAGGCATGTAGCCGGGGGGGGGGGGGGGGGGGGCTTCAGCCACCCCCCCCGAAATTCTCATGGTGGTCCGAAAAGGCCTTACTGGTGCATTATTTAAACTGTTATGTTTATTCATATCATGATCTGATCACCATATTCAATATATCACATATTTATGGGGGTATTGGGGTAATGATACAAAAGGTTTGCTAGGCTAGACCCTCTTTCACTCAGACTCAGCCCCCCCCCCCCGCAACCCCCCCCCCGAAACCCCCCCTGAAAATTTTTTAGCCCCCCCGAAACGAAATCCTGGCTACGGGCCTGGCCACAGGCATCACCAAGTGATTGTACTTAAGCCTTTGCTACAAAAAGTGCATTTTTTCAGCTCTTGCTAATACAGATGTTTTTAAAAGCATAGGCGCAGGCTTAGTTGGTTGCTGCTTCTATTGGAAAATCTAATGCATCACCATGTTGTGGAAAGCTACACCTATTGAAACTCAAACCCGTCATCTAGCTGAACGGGTAACAGCTCTAGCTGCTTAGTCATGACCCTGTTGGCTAGCCTTCAGCAAAGCACCATCTTGGGCCTCTCCTTCCCAAATGGAAAAGAAAGGATATTTAATTATGTGGTTATAGAGAGATTAGGTCAACAGTCTTTTGTGTACTTGGAATGGCAAACTTCCTGATTGCAAAAGTCTTGTTACATCAGTCTGCCCTTACATAAGGCAAGCCTCCATATTCTGGAGGCTGCAAAAAACTGGGTTAGCTCCTATGCTTAACATTTGCATCTTATCCCAAAGTTAGAGAGGGAATCCAACATTTTCCAGTTGTTGGGATTTTAAATACTATCTGTGAAAAATAAATGAAACAAACCAAGAGATGAATAACCCAGGCTGGATCTAGATTGCCATATATCCCAGGATTTGATACCAGAATGTCTGATTTGAACTGGATTATATGAGTCTCCACTACCATATAATCTGGGATAAACAGATAATCTGGGATCAGATCCTGGGATATATGGCAGTATAGAAGGGTCCCCAATTATTACTGAAGACATCTCCAAAGCAATAGGAAAATTAATTAATTAATTAATGGGTTGTTGTAGGTATTTTGGGCTATATGGCCATGTTCTAGAAGCAATAGGAAAAGCTACATTAATTAATCGGTGGTTGTAGGTTTTTTGAGCTATATGGCCATGTTTTCCTGACGATTGGCTGCATCTATGGCAGGCATCCCCAGAGGTTGTGAGACCTCACAACTTCTGGGAATGCCTGCCATAGATGCAGGCAAAACATCAGGAGATAATGCTTCTAGAACATGGCAATATAGCCCAAAAAACCTACAACAACCCAGTGATTCAATCCATGAAAGCCTTCAACAATACATTAATTAAATCTCCAGAAGTTCCCAGTGGCACAATGGGTTAAACCCTTGTGCCGGCAGAACTGCTACTGATAAGTCAGTGGTTCGAATCTTGGGAGAGTGGGTTGAGCTCCCTCTGTCAGCTCCAGCTTCCCATGTGGTGACATGAGAGAAGTCTCCCATAAGGATGGTTAAAAAATATCAAACATCCGGGTTTTCCCTAGGCAACGTCCTTGCAGAGGGCCAATTCACTCACACCAGAAGCAACTTGCAATTTCTCAAGTCGCTCCTGAGACGGAAAAAAAATGGATTTTCAGCAATTTATTATAAGGAATTTTAAAATAACTTGATAAGATCCACGCAGGAACTTATCAATTTAAGTCAGACTTAGAAGTGAATAAAATTCTAGAGAAATGACCATAGTCAAACTTATACCAAAAGAAGGACAAGCAACTTTATATTGATATCACTATTAAATTATGATTACAAAATTTTCACAATATTGATACAGTTTCTAAACCAATTCACCCATGAAGATCAATCAGGCTTTTCCCCTAAAGGCAAATTCAGAACAATTTGAGATCAAATTGAATTTCCTCGATAAATATAACAAGTGAAAAACAGAATTGATGCTGAGAGATGCAGAAGAAGTATTTGATAATTTAAATTGGAAGTTTTTATTTCCAATTTTAGAAAAAAGTGGAATTTGGAATGAATGTAATAAAACTGATTAGAGCAATTTATAAAACATTGCCTGTTTGGCTTACAAATTCCGTTTTATTTATTGTTCTCTTTAATTGTGAAAGGAGTTGGTGAGTGTCAATGAAAATGGAGCCAAAACAGGACACACCAAGATTAGTTTCCACACGAAGAGAGGAAGTCTTGTGGTTTGCAGAAGTACGAAATAGCTTTTAACAAGAACAAGGAAGCAACAAACAGGCCAAAGTCAACTGAGCACAGTACCTGGAAAACAGGGGGGGAAACCATGGGAAATAAATAAGGCTGGGTAGTTCTTTTCTGTAGCAAATTACACAGTGAAAGACTCTAAATCAGGCATGGGCTAACTTTCTAACTTGGGGGCTACATGGTGGGCTGGAATGGACTGGACTGGACGGGAGGGAAGGAGAGGGTTCTCCCCGTCCCTTCCCTCCCCTTCCTCTTCTCTTTTGGAGGCAGAAAGTGAAGGAAAGACAGGAAATGTTTGGATCCCAAAAGGGTCAGGATGAGATGGTGGATGGGAAAGAAAAAGTATATCCATTAGACCCCCCTATTGCTTATTCCTGATATATAATCCTAGAGCTGGAAGAGACCCCCAAGGGCCATCCAGTCCAACCCCCTGCCATGCACAGTCAAAGCACTCCTGGTAGAAATGCTCTGCAGAAAAGCCTCCAGAGAAGGAGACTCCACCACACTCCGAGGCAGCCTATGCCACTCTCCAGCAGCTCTTACTCTCAGGAAGTTTATCCCAATCTTTTCAGTCAAATCTCTTTCCTGCCATTTGAACCCATTGCTCCCTTGT